TTCCATGGAATTATCAGACATTGCCTACACCAATGTCATGATAATGATAATCATATATTGTCATATAATCCCGTCCCCAATCGTATTAGGCCTATATTGTAAAAGTATCGATAATGGTCGTTTTATGTTTTTTTGATAATTCTCAGTGCTATGTGAACAAGGAGGCTTTGGAGAGGAACTTTTGCTGTCCTCTTTGACAGGTATACTGTACCACCAGGATAGCAATGCTTTTTTGCTACTCTTTATTTTGGTGTAAGGAGGAGTCTCATTTTACTATGGAGCTACAAAGATGGACAATGTTTCATCTGTCGTGAACGATTCCGGTTTGCGCCTTAGGGGTGACGCCAGCAGGGGGAATGGGGCAAGGTCCCCGTCGAGGAGAGGTCCCCGTCGAGGAAAGCTTCCCCCTCCCCCACCCCGGCGTTGGGGAGATAAACTACAATTCGTCAGGGAGAAATAAAATTTGTATGTATTTTCTACATATTAGTAGACTCTAAAATCGATTCTTCTTGAATGCCCCTTGCAATGCTGCATAAAAAGGTTCAGTGCGTACATTTCAACATCTCTTGTACTTTACCCTTGTGCGAACTCTCTGAAAAGATCTCCCCATACTTCGATAGGACGTCCCGGTTTGGGTCTGTTTTAAGTCTCTTGTGGGTTTTCTGCTGGTGTGGAAAGAATATCTCTGTTCTGTGTCAAAACATTAATAACTTCATCAGAAAATGGAATCCTGTTGTCAAGCCACGAGTTATTTTCTTTAGAAACCCGGCAAACACGTGTTTACGTTCTTATAACGTTCTTGGCGAATATTGTGGTTAGGTATGTCACAAAATAACGTTTACACAACGTTGTAGGAACGTGCAAACGTTGTGAAATTATGTTCAGTATGTATTTATGGTTCTACAAAATAAAGTTTTTAAAACCAAACTGTAACGTTATTGTCACGTTAGCATAACGTATTATTGTTTGCTGGGAAGGTCGTTAGTACTCGCGTAGTAGCTCACCTCTCCTTAAGTTGAAACAGGAAGCTTTTCAAAGTCTTGGATGTGTTTGAATAAAGTTAAAAACAATTGACGCCTAGATATAGGCCTGCTTGTAGATATCATCTTCATTATGATATATGATATTTGGATTATTATACTGCTCAAAATTTAATAAAGTATTCAAAACAGCAACAAAATATTAGAAGATTTGCTACTGTTAAATCACGAGCAGTTTGTCAATTTTTGAAGTGCTTTTCCCACGCTTTGCATGAACTGGTTGAATAGACGCGTGTACATCACTCTGATTTGCGGTTTGCTCTAATTAAATTGTGTCTCAAATGTTCGAAAACAAGACTGATAAAAGTGCGTCTAGCTCGCAAAGTTGCAAAAAGTAGCAGCTAAATTTGGTACCATCATAAAGTTAAGGCTATACTGAAGATGGTGATGTAAAAATTAAAGCATGAATCCACATGAATCTAAACTTTCTCTCCTACTTTTCTAAAAATAGATTTTTAAATATTTTTTCTGTCGTTTAAACAACGATTTATTATTGATGCAAACTTCAAATTTAAACTAAAACATACATTTGTGTTCCCCAATTTATATACAAGAAACCTGTGCATTTTGAAGTAATTCCGAATTTTCTGTAAGAAAAAAAAAACGTGTTTAGATATAATGTAGTCAATTATAGCATTTGAAATATTTATAGAGAAATTTCCGACATTTGTTGAAAAATACTACCCTTAAAATTCGTTTAAATGTAAAATATTTTCAGGATAGATTCACCAGGGTATATCCATCTTCAATCATGTGAAAAAAAGTGTAAAAGCCATAGTCACCAAAATGGACTTTTGGCACACTTTGATTTCGCCCTGGCCCACTGTGCGACGCCGTGATTCACTGTGAGTGAATACACGGCTGCTGCCGTCGTCGTGGTGTAACACAGGCAGACACGACCAATGTACGTTTTATTTCCAAAATAGTACGATTTATTCTCGTTATATTTCACATTTGGCATACACAATCTAGAGAAAAGATGACGTTACATTCATAAACATGTAACAATGCAGTTCCTGTTAATTTAAATCACGGTCAACTTTAGACACAAAGCGTGTATGAGACGTTTTAATAAAGTCTATTTTCTTAAATTACTGTGTAAATCGCCTATCTTCTTGCTTTTGATTTGGCTCGAATACCCACTATAGCTGAACAGCGTAGATCGCTAATTTGGTCTATTGAGAGATGCCGACGTTATTTTATTTTACTAGTTCAGATTTTAGCATTAGTCATTTTCACATTTTAACGAAATAATCTACATTTTATATTGAACTTTTTTAATTATTTTAATTTAACTTTTTAAATTCTATGTAGGCCTATTATAAGTTATCTTTTAGGCATATGTCATTTTATTATTTATTCTAAATAGCTTTAATCCTTAATTTTGTAAGCATTGTCATTGTTTAAGCCTTATTTGTAACTTTATCCTAGTGTGTTTATAATTTTAATATTCGAAAATCGTACTGTAAATGTCATGCAATTCAGCTTTGTACCATTGCTACTATGTTGATATATGAATAAAATTAAATGAAATGAAATTATTATAGAGGCACGCATACCCAATTTCTACCAGTTTGTGATTGTCTAGGATCGTTAGGCTTCAACAATTCGGAAGATTTTAGGTAAATAAATGTAAATGTGATTTTATATTTAAAATGAAAACCATATTTCTTCTGAAGTCCGCAAACATTACTCGTGCTTAGTTTCCGGCTCGGTCAGTATGTTGTATTAATTGTACTAAATTCAGAACAGCAGCATCGACTGATTTTTTAGTTTGGTAGGCAAACTGATATGAATCAATTTTTTTCAATATATATACACATACATACAATATATGTTTGTTTCAACTGCATGTGAATATCAGACTAATGGACCAATCACCAAGTAATTCAGGGCTGTCCCATTAATTAAACCTTTTGCCCAAAAAGAGCTGGTACAACAGAGGAGGTAATGTCGTTACAATATATATTAATATATTATTTCGATACATAATTACATATTTTAACTGAACTCTAGAACTAGGCCTGTGTATGCGTTGTGTCTATATTTAATATATTTCAATCTTTTGTCAATCTAATGTCGACATAGGGATTCTTCTTGCAACATTTTTCGTTTAAGAGCGAGAATAGCCTAGCAAAGTAGTGTTTTACGCTGTATTGCGCACCGACATAAGCTGTTTTTGGGTCATTATTCGATTTCTACCGTCGTATCTCAGATTCGGATTTTTGTGTTCCCTTTGGTATTTAAAAGGCAATTCTTTTCTGATTGCTTTAGTATTTGTTTCAATTGTATTAATTGCGTTGCTTAAAAAAGTCACCGTAATTTTTCACTCTTCGATTGGTGCTATGCTGACCGCACACCGCGTAGAGGCTGCATTTTTAACTCTTTTTAGCGACTTCGTTGCCATTTCGGCTGTTTACCAATCAATTATCTTGTTGTTCCCCGGTAAAATGAGAGCTGAATATTCATAAATTCTTCTCATATAAAATATATTCTCATTGGATGAAAAAATTCATCGTCAAAACGCTAATTTCAAATTTGAATAAAATTGAAAATTTGAATGAACAATTATGTCTAGGCATTATGCCAGCCGAAATTTCAAAGCTTTGGTATAGCCTTCCGCCAATGTTAATGAATCTGCGTTGTACTGTGTTTTTTTTTTTTTTTTAAATTCCGCCAATTTCCTTTTAGTACAGTACCGTATGTCATTTCCACCTTCTACATAATCATTAAGTAATTATGTTGTCAACATTTACGGAGTGTTATTGTTTGACTTGATGTAAATTTAAAGGCACATAATGATCTAAAACATACGGTTGTAGAGGTTTCTCTGCCAGTTGGTAAGAAGCAGGAACGTACCATTATCGATCAGGTCTGGGATAGCCGGATTCAGGCTGGCTAGGAAAAGTGCGTCGTAAAATATGAATGACCATTAAAACCTAAATTGTAAGATTGTTAAACTAGTACAGTACTACTCTTAATAATAATATTTAAGACTTAAACAATGCATACAAAACAAAGGTATGCGTGTTAATTACCCCTTATAAAATGAGCGAGTCTAAACGATAACAAAGGCTTCTGAAGGTAACTTCGCTGCAGTAAATATGAGCCGATTAAATTTGATTGTTTCGTTGCAAAAAATATGTGACCTAAGAATTAATATGGGTATGTTCTTTCTCGACCACCTTACAGCTGTCTCTTATACACATCTAGATGTGTATAAGAGACAGGATTTTATGGAACACTCCAACTACTTGGATCTGAAAATAGAAAACTTTAGCACAAGGTTGCTCCCCCTAGGCCTACTCCTGTCAGTTCAACAACACTATAAACCATACGCACAAGTTTCTTTTTATATGAAATTTCAGATGGTCTATTCATAACAAACAATGACAACTTTTTGTCGAAAATCTACATCATCATGCAAGAAAATAAAGAGATTATATTGATGCTTGGTTAATTTAGCATTGTTCTGTCTCGACCACCTTACAGTCACTCTCAGATAGGCTTATCTTCATATGCTTTCTACGAATGGATACCTTGTTTGAATCAAAAAATCAAGTTGCCTCAATTGTACCAAAAAAAAACAAAAAAAAACATTAAAATACATCACAAAACGCTACAAACATTGACCAAAATATGTTGTATTTTAGGCCTACCGATTGCAAATTATGCTAATTTTAATGCAAAGAAAACTGTTGCCCAAGGAACATAATTGAGAGAAGTACACAATATTTCCCTATAACAATTCACACTATTACTGTTTCATATAAATTGAGTTGTTTCTAAATATGTTGATGTTAATATGAAAAAAATGATGTGAAACGGTTATCAAAACCTGTCCATGAAGCATGCTTTGTAAAACATAAAAACATGATTTTACCACTGCATGTCTGACATTACGTTACTAAAGAAATAACTAACGTTCACATAATTATATAATAATAGCAATCATAATAGTAACATTTTTCACCAATAAAACTTTATTCACACATATTGTGTACATTCTGTAATTTACAGTAAAGATATTTTAACACGACAGTATATAGGCCTACTCCATGAACAATAAAACATAAAACATTGAATTTGTAATATGTGATCTAAAATGTTGTCGTAAGAATAAACCTTGTTGAGTATTTTAACAACACTAACTCATCTATCAAATGGCCTACTGGGTTTTCTTTGAAAGGTTATAACACCGAGGATATGGCGAGGGCTTCTGTTTATAGATATAACCTAAACAAAAATATCAGTCTATTGAGAATTAAGAACTTTGTACAAAATATAATGTGATAACAATAATTGGTTCTTATGTTGATGGCACAAGATGAAAAGATCCAAATACAATGTGACTCTGCTACGAGCTTTAGCAGCTCTATGTATCAATTGGTAATTTTTCTCGACGACAAAATAGCATACCGGTATTTTCAGACTTGACATCAACACAAAATTTTCCACGAAGGTGTACATGGTTCTATGGAAATAATGGAATCGTAATCCAAATTATAATTATTTTGTTAATTAATAAGAATCTTCGCCATGATTTATCTATGTTCAGATACAACGAATAACGATAATTTAGTTGTGTAAAATTGTGGGCGAACGAAAGCCAGATCAAAGACAATAGCCTACGGACTACCAACAGTATTATTTCATCATAGTACACACAGTTATAGATAATATAAGCGATAAGTTGGTTTCCCTTTTCAGTGATATAGTTTGAATTTTCGCTTGAATTTGATGAAATATAGACTCCTAAATATTTGTAGTTATTTACCTCTTTTATTGATTGGGTCTACAGTCTTACACAACCTGCCTCTATAGCCAGTTCCTCTACAATCGCACATAGCCAAACCCCCTACAGCAATGCAAGTTCCACGATTAAAACAACGTCGATTACAATCAGCTATGTAAAAAAAAAATATATATATAAAGAACCTTTCTTTAATTTATTTTAGTATTGTATTTGTAAATGTTATAATAACGATAAAACAAAATATAATTATAATAATTAATATAAATAATATTAAGTAAGCTTGCCAAAATAAAAACATGATGTTAAATTTCCAGTGAAAATGTATAACGAAACAGCACGAGTAATAATTGCAATGCGGTAATAGCCAACTAGAGTTACTTTCATACCAAAGCCTGATTTTGAAAATATGAAGTGCAAAAAATACCATTAAAACAAATATAAAGTAAAACAATAAAGGTAAAAGATAAATGAAAAAGCAAAGATGAATTCAAAACTATTATTATCATCAGTTATTTGTGAGGTTGCATACACTCACAATAGTTTACACAAACTAAATGTCAATATGAAATTTAGGGAGGGTGGAGGAGTGCATTGGTCGTGAGATAAGAAACTTCTGCAACACTGACGGGAATTGAAGCAAGAACGTGGGGATTTGTAAGGAAGCATCTGAGCAACTAAGCTAACAACTTCACTCCA